ACTAAAACCTATTCCTAGCAACAGCTTAGTAACATTCCTCACTATTCCTCATATAAATAAATGAAGGAGAATAAAAGTTTAAGTAAGTTGCCTCCACAAGATCCAAAACTCTGACTAGGCTCTCTGCGTTTCAAATTCCTTTTTCAGAATTAGGGAAAAAGCAAAAATCAAAAGTGGCACAGCATACTTTATCACTGATAAACTGAGTACTATGTATTTCACTTGAATACAATTATCCTTCTTCAGCAACTCTGAAATTTCCATTTTTATAAGAAAGACACTAGATACTCATCAGTAAATCCCATGTCTTATAAAAGGTAGTTATAATTCTGACCAAGAAAAAGGTCAGAGACTAAGGAGGCCATTTCCTTGTACAAGGAAAGGCTGAGAGAGCTGGCCTCTTCAGCCTCAAGGAGAGATGACTGAGAGGGGACCTTATCAACATGTCTAAGTACCTAAAGCATGGGCTACCAAGTAAACATTTCCAGGATCTTCTTGGTGGTGCCAAGCAATAGGACAAGAGGCAATGGGCAGAAACAGCTGCACAGGAAGGTCCAGTTGAAGATGAGGAAGAGCTTTACTGTGTGGGTGACTGGGCAATGGAACTGATTTCCCAGAGAGGCTCTGAAATCCTGTGCCATGTGCTCTAGGATGACCCTGCTTGAGTAGGGAGGTTGGACCAGTTGACTCACTGTGATCCCTTCCAACCTGACCCATTCCGTAACTCTGAGAAGCAAATCCCTAGTTAGAAGCATGCATGTCACTTTTGAATATATACTACAAAGGTAGTAGAAATAATTACTGAGGTTTTAAAATATCAGCAAAAAAGCAAAGAAATCACAGAACTGCAGACCTCACAAGGAATGTTTTTCATTATAGTAATCTTTGTTGCAAGTAGATCTGGCCCTAACAAAGGTCAAAAACTAACAAAATCAATTAACAGGACAGAATTTAGCCAAAGCCCATAACCAATGCGAGCAATTTATATTTTAAAATGCCCAGTCTTTTGCCAGGTACTTTTTTCTTTTGGTGATACAAGTTTTAAAGCATTTTTAATACAGCATTTGGAAGCATATTCACAAAATATCCTTTGTTTAGGGAAAATGTTCTCTTATTTTAGGAGCTTTAACCTCTCCATTTGCTCTTTTAATGCTTTGCCTGCCATAAGAATCAGGTTCATTATGTGTGTGTAACTTTTAAATGGTTTAAGGTAATAAAGATGGTAATCTAGACCCTCTTTAATTTTATGCTGAAGTAGGAAAAATATTTTATTATATCTTTTGAAATTAAGAACTATACCTCTTGGAATGGATGAATCAAATTCCTCAAGGGGAGAAATATTTAGCAAATCTTTTCTAATTGTCCTGAGGAATAAGAATCCCTACTTTAGTTACATTCACTTTCTCACTAAGCATATTGGTACAAAAGGGGAAAAAATCTGATTTAGAACAACTATAATCCAAAAGGAAGGTATATCTTAGTATCTATGCCCTAGAACGGAAATTCCGCACAAAGGCAAGTGCTTTGTTCTGGTTTGGGTTTGTCATTTGTTTGTTTGGCTGTTTTTTTGGTTGGCTTTTTCTTGGGGGGACAGGTTTGGAAGGGTTGGGGTTTTTTATATATGTGTGTTTTTTGTTTTGGTTGGTTTATCTTTTAAAAATACAAAATTTCTCTTTTCAAGTAAAAAGATATGACTACTCTTCTTCTTTGGGGTCCAGAAGAAGAATGATACCTCCATGTTTCCTCCCTCCCAACTTTTTTCAGGAAGGAATTTTACCATTCAGAAGGGCTAGTTACAAAGGACAGTGTCCTTCAGAATTTGCTTTCCACCTCCAGTTATTCTGGGTCTTATTGTGAGCTTCAGTTCCAGAATTATGAGAGGATCTTTACGGGATAACCCTTGCTGATACTAAATTGTTAATTATCCAAAATTAAATGAGAACCAACCATTAACATAGGTCCTGAAGCTCCATCTTCTTAAGCATCTGAACTTCAACCTGGTCTCAAAAAAGGCATCTAAATGCAAATATTTACAGGATATAAAAATATGATCTTAAAAGACTGCATCTGGAAGGACAATAGACATGCCAATAAAATTTAAAGGCAATGCTGCAAACTGCATTCCAATAAAGATCAGAATCTCACAGGGGGAAGGTGGTGGTGGTTAAGCTCAGACAAATTGGTAATGGTATTTTCACAATCTGAGAATAACTGTTAAAGACAAATATGACATTATGATGAGTTTTATAGTAAAATCTGTTATTTAATGCTAGAAAATACTTAATACTAAGTTTATTTTTAAAGAAATCCTCAACTTTTTATTGATGCTGAATCATTTTTAGTAGTATTCTGTAGGACTGAAATAATTACTTTCAAACTAGGAAAGAGTTAGTATCTACAAAAGAAAATCCCTCGTTTTCCATTGTTGCTTTCAATTAGCCATCTTTGACTACTGCTACTTAAATCATCAGCTGTCTTGCAGTTATGCCCATAATCTTTGGTCTGGAAGTAAGAAGTCACTTAAAACAGTTTATGATCAAAAAATTCAATCAATGCTTTTATGTATTCCCTTCATCAAGGCCACAGAGTTTATAGCTCAAACCTTCTACCTATCTATAAACATGTACTTTCAGTGTCCAATGTTATAAAATCACATGCAAATGCAAGAGCTTGTTAAATTTAAATAAAATTACAACCAGAAAAGAATGGTTGTGTTTGGTTTCCCAGATGGGCAATTGATTTTTTTTTCCTATGAGTTTATCACTTCAAGGCTTCTTTTTTTTTAAAGTACTTATATGTTGAACTTGAATCAAAGCAGAACCTTTTCTGTACTACTGTGGCATTTCCATGCCGCCAACAGAAAACAAATCCAGTTTGCTAGTTTGCTGTTAATTTCAAAAACAGCCTTGTTGCTCTGCTGTGAAAATCCTAAATATAAACCTGTTCTTTTTACTCCATGTTTCCTATCCCATAAGCTGTATTTTCCCTGTATTAGGATTCTGAATAAAAAGATTTTCTTTCATTACCTTGAAGAATATTGCATTAGGAATCAGGTATAAACAAATCAGAGGAGTTACAAATCACAAGGTCAAATAAATTCTACACACCACCTCCCATTTCAGTGGGAGTTTTCCCAGGCCTTAATTTATAAGGAACGGTATATATTCACTACAAATGAGGATAGTTTTGGCTTAAGAAAGTACTCCATAGATGTGTATAATTAGCACACCTTTATCATAGAGCAAATAAATACCGTTACCTATTTTGAAAGGACATTAGTTCCCAATGCTATCACATATCATTGTACAGAGTAAGTTTAATGCTTTATCAACCTTTTGAAAACATGCCCTTCATTACTAACTACATAAAAAGTACCAGAAGTACTAATCTTGAAAACCAAATTGAGTATAAAACATATAGAACTACAGAAGTTGAAATTTCCATGCAGCCTTCTATTACAGCAATGGCATGCTGGTTTCAGCTGGGGTAGAATTAATTTTCCCAGTGGCTGGTACAGAACTGTGTTCTGGATCTGTGCTGAACAAAGGGTTGATAACAGAGAGATGTTTTTGTTATTGCTGAGCAGGGCTTGCACAGAGCCATGGCTCTTTCTACTTTTTGTACTTCCATGCTGGAGAAGAAGTTGCCGGTGAGTGGAAGGAGACACTGCTGGGACAGGTGACCCAAACTGACGAGAGGAGTATTTCAGACCAATTGATGCACACATTGACACACTGGCTTGACCCCAGACCTGCCTTGTCACTATTATCTTGCCCGGTGCCACTGGACTGTTGGTTGAACCTGGTTACTGTTAACAGATGTTCTGCTCTTCTTTGCCAGGCACTGTGGGACTGCTTCCATCGTGATGACACAGCTCCTGTGTCTACCTTATCCCAGCTAGCCTTCCTTCACCTTCCCTTTGCAGCTCTCCCAGTCATATCTGAGCTCAGTCAGGCACCCTGTCACATTTGCTTAGTTTTCTGCATGTCTAAATAAGCCATTCTTATGCTTTGAGAGGTTATTCTTGAACCAGCTCTTCAGAGCTCCTTTGCAATTCAGACCCATCCTCTCATTAATCCTACCAAGCAGATCCCTGAACAAGAGAAACATCTGTTATTTGGTAGCACACAGTTCTAACCCTACTAATCATTCTGCTCACTTCTTTCCAGACGTTACTCTCCTGTCCCAGACCACATCCACAACCAGTTCTTCCCTGAGAGCAAGTAAGAAGGATAGCTGATCATCTCACCTGCAGAAAGCTTTTTGTACTCTTGGGAAACACACTGTCCTATTTCAAGCCAGTTTAACAGCCTCCCAGTTATGTAAAAATCTGGCTTTACACGAATACAAAGCAATTCACACTCATTCTATACTTGTGCACAGTCTTTTACCCACAAGTAATACCACAGCTACCTCATTTTCCAGCCCCATCTTTTGGCACACCATTCACATTCTACAACTTATTTGAAAAAAAAATAAATAAAGAGGACTTTTACTTACCTCTTCAAATATTCATACGCCATGCTCATTGCATAAACACACACAACATAAAGCTATCTTTCAAGGGACTAACACAGTGTCTCAATTAATATTTGCCTTCTGTTGGATCTGCATCCCCCATGGGGTTTCTGTTGCAGGAGGAGGGCAGGATCATGTATTCCTACCAACCTTCATCTGTACCTCTAACAGCTGAGCAGAGCTGTACCAGTGGGAGTCATTTTATCATTATTTAAGAAATATTATATCAAAGACAGCTACAGCTTACACTGAACTTTTAAATTTGCTACTACTAAATGCTGCATCCAAGCATATACACCAAGACTATTTCTTGACTTCCACAGGACCTCAAGTGTTCCAGGTATTAAGTACCACTAGCATTAGTACTCAAATTCATCTGCTGGTATCAATAAATGAAAAAGAACCCGACATACTATACTCTTCTTAAATAAAGCAGCTATATTTAAAAGCATATTATCAGAAAAATGACAACACAGTCTCACCTTGAAATGATTCACAGGGTGTATTAGTTGATGTGCTAGCATCTGCTGATGAAATCTGAACATTATCCAAATTCTTTTCTTTAGATTTTGATCCAAGATTTTCAAGAACCACCTCCTCTTCTCTACTTGAAGTATGAACAAGAGAGGATGATGATGTTTCACCATAGAGTCGTTTCAGCAATTTTGCCAAGAACACTGCAGGGTAAGAAAACTTTTTTTTAACAGGAAGAAATGCAGTATTTTAGAAATACTTTAAAACTTCAGAAACCCCAACAATTAACTTTTATGAGACAGTTTCCCTCATATTCCTTGGAAGTCTATTTTGAGTAGTCCCTACCTCTCACAGGCGAAACTTAGTATATTTAAGTTCAAAACTTGAATTGCAAAAGCAGCTTTAAAACACCAGAGTTCACTAGCAAGGTTATATTTAAAGTCTTCTATTTGACTACACTTTGGCAGTAAATTAATACAATACATTTACAGACTAAAAACACATTAATTTTTAAAATAAGAATCTTCCTATGCAAGTGTCATAAGGCTGCTCAAAATGCAGGTCTCTTCTGGAACAGAGGCACTGCAATTTAATTACTCATTAAAATCAGTAAGCTACAATGATTTAATCACACAGAAAAACTAGAAGTAGACAGGAGCAGAAACACATGGTAACCAGTTATTTCTACAGAATTATCAGTATTCTTATACGCCTCTTCTTCTTATGGGCCCATTTCTGACGACACTGACAATCTGCTACAACTTAGTCAAAAGCAAGTATCATTTGATTAAAGAAATATATGCAAATAATCTACTCATTAACAAAGCCATTATCTTTTTTACATATACATGTATACTTCAATAACTTAAAAAGTACTAAAGTATTACCTATAGTTTTTATCTATTGCAAAGCAACTTCTCTAGTTTCATGAATTTTGTTCGGTCAAAGATATATTGTGGGATGTGTGGGTGGGAAAAAAGACATTTGGAGAAAAACATTATCTAAACTGCAACTTCAAATTTAATATACATTCTGTGGACACTACAAAAGCAACCTGCTGCAGATTAATAATGAAATAATTCTGCCAAGAGAAGAGAACTTAAAAATTGTAAGAAGAATGTACCCCACTGCAACTTAGCAGAAAAACATTTTATCATCATGAAACTTGTCAATAAATTACTTTACAACTGAAAAAAACCCACTTCATCCTTGAACCACCAGTCCTTGACAGACAAACTGTATCTCCAGTGTACCTTGGCACATATGCTTTCTCATGTAAACGCCTAACTATGTGGGAGAATGCTTTGTTATGGGCTATGATTACAGTTTCCATATAGACAGACATAAACAAGTGACTGTGCGTTTTTGTAAGGTTCCCTTGCTGGGTTAATCTACAGCTATAAAGAAAAATCCACAATTACTCTCCTCAGCTACAGAAAGTAAGATGGAAATAACCAGTGTCATGAGATAAAGTTAACTGCCTTTTGCAGATCTCTGACTCTAAAGCAAGTTATCCAAGAGGTTTATCCTGAATCCCTTCCCCAAGTGCTGCTGCTAACGCTACAGCATTTTAATAAACTACAGTACAGCCATTACTAAATATCATGGTTTAATGCCAAGAGGCAGCCAAGTCCCACCCAGCTGCTCGCTCACTTGCCCCCACATGGAATGGTGGAAAGAATCAGAAAGATAGCTCTGAGACCATTAATAGGTTGATGCAAAGGCAGTTTAATAGGTAAAGCAAAAGTCATGCACACAAGCAAAGCACAGAATTCATTCATCACTTCCTGTGGGCAGGCAGTGTTCAGCTATCCTCAGGAAAGCCAGGCTCTATCACACATAAAATGTTACTTGGGAAGACAAATGTACCCCACTTTCTCCTCCTCCTGGCATGCTGAGTATGACACCATACGGTGTGAGATATATCCCTTGGGTCAGCTGGGATGAGCTGTCCCAGCTGCGTCCCCTCCCAATTCCTTGAGCACTTCCAGCCTCCTCACTAGTGGAGTGGGGTGAGGAGCAGAAAAGAACTTCATTCCATGTAAGCACTGCTCAACAATAACAAAAAGATGCCCGAGTCATCAACACTATTTTCATCACAAATACAGAAAACACATCACCACAGGAGCTGTTATGAGGAAAATGAACACATCCACAACCAGTACACAGATTAACATTCAAGCACTTGTACTGAGGGAACTATTCTTCCAAAGCAAATGATCATTGACATACTGATGAATCTAGATGTGCAAATACATCTCTAAATCTGCCGAGAAGAGCAGCCTCCTCATAACTACAGTGGATTTTATGCTTCCCATCTTGATATCTGATTTCCCTAGTCATCTCCCCCCGCAAACTAAATCACCTTTTCCTTTCCATTTTTAAAATTGAGGGACTATACTCATACACACAATAGCATTACTTCAAAAAGCAAGACCAGACCTGCTGTGATACATTCCTTCTAATTCCCATGGGGAGCTCTCCCCATCTTTAATAACTTTCCTTGGGAAAGCAAGGTGATAGATGCCTGCCTTGGAGGGTATGGATACTGAGGTTTTTCTTTGATAAAAATCTCTTTTTTCATTCAGAAAATTTTTTCATTCTCTTTTTTTATTCAGAAATAAGAATCTAGATCAGGAACAGTGATAGATTCACCAAAGTAACATCCACTTGGCTGGAGTTTTCAGCAGATACTAGAAGCAGCAAGGTGTGGAGTGAAGGAGCTCTTTACTGCCTACAAAGTTTTCATATATGTGACAGAGCATCTTAAGCACTGACAGAAGATAACTAGCAATTTTCAATAACCATAACAAAATAGAAGTGAGCAGTGTTGACACTTAGACATTAAAAGGTACTCATTTGAAACCTGATGCATTTCAAGCCTTCTGAAGACAACAGGAAGCAATAAATCCCAACAGTACACCTTCCTCAGGTGAATGAAGAATCACAGAATCTGGTAAGTTGGAAGTGACCCACAAAGATCAGTGAGTCCAGTTCCAGTCCCTGCACAGCACTATCTCCAAGAGTCACATCATGTGCCTGAGAGCTTTGTCTAAATGATTTTTGAGCTCTTTCAGGCTTGGTGCTGTGACCACTCCCCTGGGGAGCCTGTTCCAATGCTCATCTGTTCCAGGCACCATCTGAGTGAAGAACCTTTTCCTGATACCCAACTGAAACCTCCCCTGACACAGCTTTAGGCCATTCCCTTGGATCCTGTCACTGGGCACCACAGAGCAGAGATCAGTGCTTGCCCCTCTTCTCCTCACAAGGAAGTTGTGACTGCATTGAAGCCACCCCTCAGACTCCTTCTCCAGGAGGAACGGACCAAATGTCCTCAGCTGCTCCTCATACGACTTGCCCTCAAGGCCTTCACTGTCTTTGTAGGTCTCTTTTAGATGGTCTCTAATAGCTTAATATCTTTCTTATACTGTGGTGTCCAAAACTGTCCCCAGCACTGGAGGTGAGACCACCCCAGTGCAGAGCACAGCAGGACAATCCCCTCCCTTGCTCAGCTGGCCATGATGCCCCCCAGGACAGGGCTGGCCCTGCTGGCTGCAGGGCACTGCTGGCTCATGTTCAACTCATCATTGTCCAGGACTGCCAGGTCCCTTTCCATGGCCCTACTTTCTGGAATCTCATTCCCCAGTCTGCCTGTACAGCCAGGGCTGCCCCATTCCAGGTGCAGAATTCAGCACTTGTTGAACTTCCTATAGTTGGTGATTTCCCAGCCCTCTAATGTGTTGAGGTCTCTCCGCAGGGCCTCCCTGCCCTAGACAAAGTCAACAGCTCTTCCTTGTTTTGTATCATCTGTGGATTTGGTTAGTATCCCTAGAATCACCAGAGAGTGCTGAAAAAACAGACTGACTTATTTTGAACTATTTGGAATCCTAAATATATTCTAGTCTGAATAAAAAATAAAATAAAAATCTGCCTGCAGCCCAAAACCTTTTGAACAAAGTGGTCCTCAGTATAAGTGAGCAAAGAAATTAGGCTCTGAGGAATACCCATTCTGCCATTCTCAGCAGCTTTACATCCTCCAAAGCAGCACTCTACTTTGCAGTTAACAGTCTTACAACTGAGCTACCAAAACATTTTTCAGATGACAAAGGAAACTCTTTCCAGAGGGTTTTATCGCTGCAATTACTTGAAAAAAAGGCATCATGTGATATCCATAAGCACTGGTTCAATCACAGAATTAGCTGCAATAGGTACCAAACTAGTTCCATGGCTAACTCTTGACAACTCATGTCTGGAAAAAGTGAAGTACAAACACATCAGAAAACTGAAAAAACACCAGGTCTCTACATCACATGATGAAAGCAAAGTGTAACTCCAAGAAATACAACACAGAACACATGCTGGTTACTGATACAAACTGTGAACATCCATGATCATTCTATTACTAATTTTGCAAGAAGAGTAAGGAGTCTATTCCAGATAAATGCATTTTTAGCACCTATGTATTAAATTGACATATCGACTGAATTCTTATTACATACACAAGCAGACTATCCACAAACACACTGAAATAGCAGTGAAGATTTATGACAGTTCTGGGGTTGACAACTGGCCTTGGCATTAAAACTCAGTTAGGACTACAGACTGTAATAAAAGCATTCTGAAGAACTAAACAAATTAAGTTCTGAACAACATCAGAAACATTCCTGTGCAACGACAGCTTCTTCAAAAACATTTCTGTGGAGAATCCTTGCCACATACTTTTGGCTACTTGTCATCAATACTTAAAGTACCCCCACCACATTTCTCATTGGGTTGCCTCCTGCCTACTTAAGTCAAAGCTGGGCAGCAAGAACAAAGTAAAGTGGCATCAGGAGCCCTGAACTCTGTGAAGCTTGCAAGTTGTCCTACTTGGTCTCTTTGTCTCCCCCACAAACAGAAGCTTTCCAAAAAGGGAAGAATCAGGAACTTCTGAAACCATCCCATGTGCAAGATGTGCTAATATGCTATTTCTGCTACAGCAGAAGGAAAGATAGTACAGCAGAATGGTAAAGGACGGAAAGAGCAGACAGACTGATAATCCTCATGCAGAACATATGGACAAGGCTTCATTAAAATGTTCAGTTCATCTCTTTTACTGAAGAATTACTCTCCAATATTCAAATGGATTTAAATCCTTGAAGTCTCTTTTATCACTAAAGTACCACATCTCCTATGAATGTCATGACAAGACAGTTACTTCACAACATGATCATAAAAATCACAGAATTGTTAATGTTGGAAGGGACATCCATGTATCACCCAGTCTAATCCCAAAGCTCAGAGCAGGATCAACTAGAGCAAATTGCAGAGGGCCTTGCCTAGTTGAGTATACCAACCTCATTGCATGGATCATCTCCTCTTCCCTAATCATGGCTGGACACTCTTGACCAGAGATCCTCAAGGGAACCATCTGAAAAAGAGTGACTCTTGAAAAAGAGATGACTGTGTTTATCAGGACCCAGAGCAACAGAGTGTAAAAGTATTTTAAAAGACTGCTACAGAAAGAAAATGTTAGCTAGACTACTGTTCTTACCAGCTAGCAGGCGGAAGACTGGTAACTTCAGGCTAGGAGCTGTTCATTCCTTCAAACCATTCCCCACAAAACTTACTTTAACCATACAGGATAATTTCATAGTTAAGTGTCCTCTGGATCCTTTCTGAAGGAGTTGCTCAGATGGCCAAACTGATGAACAAAGGTCTTTGCTCTGTGTTTATCTGGCCTAACACAGTGATTTTTGGGTCATGGCTCTGCAAGCCTCACAAGGGGTTTGTATACACATGGGTTTGTATTTCAGCCACCAAGGCAAAATTCAGTCTGAAGTTATGATGTCTGATGGCATGCAAGGCATTCTGTTTTGCCTGCAGATTAGACACTGCTCCAGAGACCTCACATACACAAGACACCAATTCTGCCAATGAGCCTGTGAATGCCTAAGATGTACTCAGTAGGGATGATGGTGCACTGAGTACAGACCCCTGTTAGAGTAAATGGAAATCAATACACAGAACCTCCAAGGGTAATTAAAACTATTAACCTTGACTTAAACTTCCCAATACAAGCAAAAGCCACACACATTGACCTCGGAAAAAAACAAAACCTCCAATCATCAAGCCTCACAGCCAAAAAAGCACAAGAAAAACAAAAAGGAGTTGGCTGAAAGCTCGAAGACCCCAAATCATTGCTAGAAATTGTAAAGACCAAAGGCTTGAAGTAAGTCAAGATAGCTTGTGTATGTGGATAACATATTCTAGTCCTGAGGGAACTGAATAGCTATTTAGTTATTAACTTCAAAATCCTCTGAATAGGGATCACTTACCTGCAGAGAAGATTCCAGATTTGGGATACCAGTTCAGCAACTACCAAAAGATTAAAATCAAGGAAGAAAGAGAGTATTTACCAACTACAAAACATTCCATTTCCCCTGAGGAGGGTATCATTTTCCCACTTCCTCATTTTTACCAAAAACATTCAAGCTGTGCAGGGATATGAGAAAAAGAACGATGTAGTGACACGTAATTACATTCTGTGTAGCTTGACAGTTCAGATCATCTAAAAGGTGTATCTAAGATGGGATCCTCTTTTTCAAGTCAGGAGAAAGAAACAGAAAATGTGATTTTCTTGCTATCAGCAAGGTCAGTTTTGCCAAGAGTGACGTATTTCCATTTCACCACGGACAGTGCATGCAAACCAAAGCAAAGCACTGTAGCAGTGTCATGGGAATAACAAAATTGATCTTTCCATCTGGGGGAAAAAATAGTGAAATATGCGGAATCCTAGCTATGATCAAAGTACAGTTTTATGTACACAGGAATGGGTACAGTATTTGGCTCTGTGCTCCCAGTCTGCAAGCAGTCCTCATCTTGCAGGCGAAGCTATGGTAACAGGCTCTTACAACAGTAGCTAGAGGATATAAAAAGGATAAAAAAGCAAGGACTGCAAGATCTGCAGCAGAAAAATTCAGGCTGAAGCTGACTGTCTCTTTCAAGAGGCACTTGTAGACAAACATAGAAACTAACAGCTTACAAGACCTTGTGTTTAGGCAAAGAGGAGGCCATTCTGCAGATCATTGACTTTATCTTCAGTCTTCATACTTCACACTAAATAGCATCTATGTATGAATTTATAGTCCTTCCTTCCAAACAGCACCGGTATTTTATGACATGCTTTCTTGAGGAAGACACCAAGTAGTTTTTCAGCTTCATATTTCAGGATAGAATTCACTTGCATCTTAAGGCCAGAAAATGTACTACTCCATCTTGCCTGAATGACTGGGAGAAGTACTTTTACACACCCACCTACACTGAGACCCAAAAACTTGTATATCAGTACTTATAATATTACAATTCAAAAGATCTAGAGAAACTCCATAGTTCATATCAGGGCTTTTTCCCACTGCCTAAATGCCTTTTAAGACACATACACATAGACCATGTCTGCTATTCAGATTTGAAAAACTTGACTGTTTTCAGCACTGGGCCTTTTTCTTCCTCTACTTAGGAAGGAGAGGTTAAGGAATCCTACATTATATAGCAATATGTTTCCCATGGAGACCTCTACAGGTTAGAAACCTTGATTCTGAAGTCTCTTTTGGCCTGGAAGGTGGTCTCTCAGCCTCATACACCTTACTTTTAACTATCTGCCTTCATCAAGAGAGCACTTTGTTTGAACAAAGGCTGTTCATCCCATTTCTCCCACAAGGTATGGTGACTTGCTTGGTTGTTGGGAGGCTTTTTTGGCTTTGATTTTTGAACTATAAAACTCTGAGACTGAGGAGAAACACCATGGTGAAATGCTGATATCACAAGCTGATTATTTTAAACTTGACTAGCTCTTAACACAATCTTTTAGTTCTACAAGACTCACAAAACTTTAGTGGTATCTTACAGGGAAAAAATTGTACAGCTCCTTACAGGATGTCTACACAAGGCGGGAATGATCCTCTTTGACAAATTTACAATTGCTCTCATTGACATTATACGAAACAAATGATTTTAACTGCTAAAGCTATTATTACATATTTAATGGTGTAAAGAACCCACATGTACTGTTTGGGAATGAAATTATGGAAGGATTTAGTTATATCCAAGGTCACATGAATTCTGTGCTTGAACTACTATGTTATCAGCTGCATCTCAGTACGGCTGTTTACTAAAATGTCTCAAGGAGCTGCAGAAGAAAGGCAGATGCTATCATTTTATATCTAGTGTGTAACAGCAACTTCACAATATCAAGGTTTGTCTCAAGACCACTGACATTATTCTCACTGAAACACCATCTATTAGTCTTCAACTTCCCATTAGACAAAAAAAATCGGATGCTAATTGCCCTAATTTTACACCTGTCTTATTCTTTTACAGGTTCGAGAAACACAGTGGAAAAAAAATCCAGTTTTGTGCTCTAAGGTAGTAGTTGATACAGTATGTCTCCACTTATCTTATTACTTAGTATTACATTTTACAGCACGTGGAAACCCACTTTGTTTTCTAAAACTCAGTAATAAAGAATTCTCCTGTCTGTGAGAAAACTTTTGAACAGCTGCAGCTTATTTAAGTATATGGCACATATCAGTAGGATTGAAAGGTAGGAAAGGAAAAGAATACAGTGATTAAACACCCCATATCTATGTATTCACCTAAATTAAGCAATTATTACAAAGGGACAGTTATTACAGAGAGAGATTGACCTGTGAACCTCCAGAACAACTCCAGCAATTTATTCCTAGAAAAAACCAACATTTATTTTCTCTTCTTAGCTTAAAAGAAACTTATTCAGCTAGACCAAGCACTGTCTCTGTCACATTGTAGTCTCAAATCATTAAGACTGGTGTTACATCTGTCAGCAAATTCTACATGACTGTGTAGTTCAACAAGAATCTGACTAATAGATCGTGTCATCCTGTCTCAACAAAGGTTTTAGAGATCTGTCAGTAGGCCACCTTAATTGCAGCCACAAGCTCCTAGACATCTAATAAACTTGACATGACAAAGATGATAAGAAGCTACGTAACCACAATGAGAACACCAGGATTTTGTTTCGCTGTTCATAAGAATCCCATCTGCCTTGTAGTGAAACCCTGCAAAATGTGTATTGCTACTGCAGCCCTGGCAAAACAGAGCACCTTCACTTTAGTTTCAATTTGTGCATACTATCCATCTTCTACAAAACTTAAATATATGTTTCTCAAACTGCACCATTATCTTCTTACTTGGCACAATCAAACAGATCTCACTGAAAACATCTAAAGATATCTCCTGAGTACACCCTTACTAAAGCTCAATAAAGCTGCTATTATTAATACCCATAATTCTGGCCACTGAATTGAGCCAGCTATTAACTACAGTTGCACAAGACTGTCAGCAGTGCCCTGGCAGCCAGGAGAGCCCACTGTGTTCTGGAGGGCACCTGCACCGCTGAGCAAGGGAGGGGATTGTCCCGCCCTGCTCTGCTGCAGCCCCATCCCAAATCCTGTGTGCAGTTTGAGTGCCACAATATAAGAAAGATACAAAGCAGTTAGAGAGCATTCAAGAAACCTTCAAAGATGGTGAAGGCCTTGAGGGCAAGTCGTATGAGGAGCAGCTGAGGACACTTGGTCCGTTCCGCCTGGAGGAGACACCTCAATGCAGTCACAACTTCCTTGTGAGGAGAAGAGGGGCAAGCACTGATCTCTGCTCTGTGGTGCCCAGTGACAGGATCCAAGGGAATGGCCTGAAGCTGTGTCAGGGGTGGTTTCGGTTGGGTATCAGGAAAAGGTTCTTCACTCAGATGGTGCCTGGAACAGATGGGCACTGGAACAGGCTCCCCAGGGGAGTGGTCACAGCACCAAGCCTGAAAGAGCTTAAAAATCATTTAGACAAAGCCCTCAGGCACATGATGATGTGGAGATGGTGCTGTGCAGGGACAGGAACTGGACTCCAGTGATTCTTGTGCTCCCTTCCAATTCAGTGTGTTCTGTAATCTTATAAGGTATTTTCCTCTCTCTTCTGGACAGATTTGGGCAAGGGAAGGCTGTGCATTTATCACTGCTCACTGAGACCAATCTCCTGCCAACACAGGTGTGAAGTTGCAGAAAGTTTAAATCTTACTTCAACCTTAAACTGGATGCAAAGAGCATATGGCTAAAAGTGAAGATCAAACTATGCCACATATGGGCTGAAGTTAAATGTTATGGTAAATGATAGTAGTAATATGGAAAACAGACATCAAAATAGCTAAAGAGTAAAAATCAAAAAGTACAACAAAACACCTGCAACTCATTCTGAGTTCAGATTACTGAGGAGAAAAAAATTGCAGATTTTAAACAGTTTCATATGAGGAGAAGCAGCAAGCTAAAATGAAGGTCAAGATACCAGTATTTAAAAACCAAACCATGAAATTGGCAGGTGTAGTATCACTGAGCACAAAGGTCCACCAAGATTGTGCACTAAGAGTTATTCAAAAGGAATCTCCGTAAGGTCATATTATATAAAATAGAAATTTAATTGAATTTCTACATAGCTTTCTTCAAAGAGTAAATATACCACCCTTTGCAATCATTTCAGTATTTGATTATACAATATCAAGCAACTTCTGCAAGCATCTCTCTTGGGTTGCAATGCAAGATGTAACCAGAAATATGTATTCTATTACCATCTGCTGAAACCAGGTGTGGCAGTGATCTTTATCTCTTCCAAGACCCATCCTCCCTCCAGGGGTATATCTTTTGTTAATGGGCCATTGAGTCTCACTACAAGATTGATAAAATGACATCATCTCATTGTGAGCTGCTCCACCCAGGGGGAGGAGCCATGTGGCGACATGCCTTGGGGAAGACAGAGAGTTACACTGTCCCACCCCAAACCCCTTGTGAAAGACGGCCCAGGTGTTCTGATTGGGTTTGAGTCCCTGGGGGTTTCTCCTTTGTTGTGTATCTAGTGGTCCCTGACCCTGAACTCCACCCTCAGGGGTGGAGGCCCTCGGGAGTTCTGTCCCTCAAAAACCCCTGCCCTGGCTTTGTTCGGGGCTCTTTGTTCTGGATCTGAGTTTGTTCCCATGCTGAATAAATGGTTTAATGAACAAAGCCCGGTCTCGTTGATGTTCCATGCTGGTCCCCAGAACCCTGCAGCTTCCCTGGACGAGATCCTGAGGTTGCGGACTGCAACAGAGCCAAGCATTCCTACTTGGATATAATCAGAGACTTTGAACACTACAGTCAGCCTTCCACCACTGGATTCCCAGAGGAAAAAGACCAGACCCATTTACACCACTGAACCGTCAGAGGAAAACTACACCCTTCTACAGGATCATTACTTCAACAGAACAATGTCTGTCACTCCAGGAGGACTGCAGCCACCATTCAATCAGACTGCTACCAATACCCTGACCAACAGGGCATCAGGTTGTATTCTGACTTTATCAGTGGGTTGTATTTTTGTTGGTTTTCTTTTTTTGTACTACTGCATTTTTATTTTAATTTCCTTAGTAAAGAACTCTTATTCCTATATCTTTGCCTGAAAGTACCTTGGTTTCAAGATTATAATATTTTGGGAAGGGGGGGTGGCGGTTTACATTTTTATTTATTTCAGGGGAGGTTTCTGCCTTCCTTAGCAGACACCTGTCTTTCTCAAACCAAGGCAGCATCTCTACATATACATATAACAGAAGTCAATATTACACCAAACGTCCCATCACAGAAGTGTTCTGGAAGTTCCAATGCAGATGAACTTTTCTTTCTAGACATATACGGAGTTTTAATTTAAGTCATTAGGCAACCCACAGAAATCCAAACTTCTTGAGAACAATTTTCAACCTTTTAAACGAAACACAACTGAAAATATAAGTAACCATGTCCTATCCCACCAATGAAGGAAGCTGAAAGTACACAAGGAATTGGGAGGGGACACATCTGGAGTAGCTGACTCAAGGCATACCCCAAACCGTATGTTGACATGCCCAGCATATAAAGCTGGGAAAAAGAAGGGAGGGGGGAATGTTGTGTGTCTTCCCAAGTCTCCATTAAAAGTAATGGAGCGCTGCTTTTCCGGGGAAGGCTAAACACCTGCCAGGCTCTGGGAAGTCATAAATGAATTCCTTCTTTTGCTTGGCTTGTGTGGATTTTGGTTTACTTATTAAAAACTGTCTTTATCTCAACCAAGTGAGTCCTCTCACTTTTACCTTTCCAGTTCTTTCCCTCATCCCAGTAGCAGGTGAATATGTGAGATGCTTTGCTCTGAGGTAATAGCTTCCAGAAGTCTATTTTACAACAATAACAAACTTAGTGTTGAGTGAAAGGCGTTACACACTGAATTTTTAAAAAGGCAAACTAACTACAAACAGACACACTTTAATGGCACACACCACCACTTCTACACAGGTTCATACACCTGCTCCTAAATATATCCTAGCATGTTTAAACAGTCCTACCACCACCATTTGTGGACCATCTTATCTCAATGAATTGCTCCAACTTCTTAAGAACAAACCAACCCTACACCAACACAATCCATCTCCCGAAAAAAACCCAAAACCCCAAACAGCCATCTACACAAAACACAAAACCCTAAAGACCACATCAAGTAAGGCTCTGCTCTCTCAGCATATGCTCCCCTTGCAGACTTTCTAAGTAGAAAGCCATTGGGTGCTTCATTTCTGCTTCTTTCACTACCTTGTTGGCCTTTCTCCTTGACTACATTTCTCATCCAGGCACAATACCAAGGTTAGCAACAAAAGTTTTTTTTCCCCCTTCCATAAAAGGTTTCAACGGCAGAGTCAAGTACACCTACCCTAGTGTAACTTCCACATTTAATCACAAAACCCTCACCCATTTTTAATTTAGCCAACTACAGTCCAAATAGAATTTACATCTTGGTAAACTGCAATAAATCTTTGGTCACATTGTGGGGGAGTAAGGTACTTCTCACAGGAAAAAAAAAAACAACAAAAAAATGTCAGGCATCATACTCCATTTGCAATTAATGTTTCTTTTACCGACAAACATAAATAATTAAAGAAAACACACTCACTTTAAAATAAAAAATCTCTTTTCCCAGTAAAACATCAAAGTATTTGCCAAAAAATTATGTTGCGTTTGAAAAACAAAAATAAGAAAAGGATTTGAATAACCTCAAGATCTCTAACAATCAATCCTTCTCTGAAACTAGAAAAAGGAAAGAAATTGTGTGCTTTTCTGCAAGAATTAAGATGTTTAATATGTCATATGGACATTAAAAAAAACCCAGCAAAAGAAAACAACCTCAAAACTAAGAAACTGCACTCCATTTCAACACCCATTACAATCCTGCTCTCTCACCTGCGAGATCAAAGCAGCACTCCTTGAAGCAATATTCTCTATGTAAAACCATCTGTCACTGATGTCTATTAAGTGTCCACATTTGCTTTCCAGTTTAATCTCTCCAACAGGAAGTCTCCTATTGTTCCACCAGATTATCCCTTGTACAGCACAACTTCTCTATCACTTTTTACTAGCAATTATAGTCAATAATAATACACTACACCTGCATCAATACCTTAACTCTACCCTTCAGCAGCTGGAACATCACTCTCTATACAACCCTTAATGACAGTGTTATTTTGGGGCGACACAACTTTCAAGAATGATGACTAAAGCTTTCAAGATGAAACAGTCGATGTTTAACAGCAACAAATGAGGAGCTCAGCTGTCCCAGATAGGATCAGTACCTTGTTGATAACACACAGAATGACAGCGGTAGTACCTCTAGCCCTCTCACAAACCACTGGTACATAAGCACATAAAAAAAAAAAAAAAAAGCCCCACAAAAGTAAAAAAACCCAAAACAACACTTTCTCAACTACTTCTGTTGCACCCTTTCCTGGCAGAGTGAAGTGCATCTCACTCACCTGCTCTATTGGCTTTTCATTATTTAAATTCTCTTCACTGACAATTACACCCATGACCTACAAGCTGTAGGTCCATCATATTTATTCTGTATTACAGACAAAAATTCATTGTTCACTTTCAATGCAGACAAAAAAAATCTGTCTTCAGCATCTTCAACATACAAAAAAAGAGCTAAACCTTAAAGAGAACCAGCTAAACCTTCCTTCTCAGCTCTTTTATAGGATACCTGTCTTTCAAAAATATATATAGTTTCACAATAGAAAGTCAACAGTTTTCATATATGCTATGGGCTGCAGAGGATGATCAGATGAGGTTCTAAACTCTTCTAGTTTTATTTCCTCCCCTGCAACATCCTTGTATTTCTCCCTGCATTTTCTTCCCAATCTTAAGTCACTGCTCCTTATAGTGGCTGAATAAAATACGATTTCCAACTCAATGTGTAAACAGTAAAGTTAGACACTCAGGATGGTCATTTTAGCTTTCTCTGACACACTACCAAAACAATTAGCTCTTTATCTGATCCTCAGTTTTAAACAATTTGAGAGCTTTAGAGTTCCCCCATTCTCAGCTCTAGAGCTATGCATTCATTCACAAGTGCAGGAACTCACTCTTCCTAATCCACTTTCCTACAGAAAATATCAATTTTTAATTCACATCCCCAAAGTGCAACAGCAGAACAGTTGCTCCTTCTCCCTTTCTCACAACGAATCTTCATCTTACTCACAGAGAACACTACCGTGTATTTATATGTCTTTCAAACGATCTCTAGTTGCAGTCTGTCAGCAAATAGCTTATACATTAACTCTTGCTGATCAGTTTCACTCTCAAATTGTTATCCTCCCATGAAGTATTCCAGTTTCTGGATGCTGGAACTGTCTGTAAAGGCAAAAGCCAAGCACAGGATGCAAGCATTCAGCTCTCTCACAGCTCAGCCCTACTCGACACCCCTTAAGAACGACATATTACTTATGAAACACCTGTATTTTGATTATTGCATTCTTCTTCTGCCGTGTCTTATAAAACATTTAGATAAACGGAATTGATTGAAGCTGTGCTTGGATAGCAGAAGGCTAGAAGATAGATAGAAGGCTTTTATTCTTTGCAAGCACAGCACCACAGTTATTTCAGAAGTAGCTAATTCACTTGAAATAAGCCAAAACAGATGATCACTAACAACAAGCAAGCACGCACGTATGCGCATAATGAGGAAAAAAGGTGTCATCATAAAACACTTTGTGATTAGAGAAGTACATTTTATTTGCTCTCTCTCCACCCTCAGCCAGGAAAACGAGGCAATAGAGCCCGCCCCGGCCCCTCCGAGCCAGAGGGGCTGGCCCGGAGATCGGGAGGGCTCGGTCCCGGAGGCTCCGCGGCCCCGCGCACCCAGAGCCCCGCCCGTGCGGAGGGCAGGCTCCGCCGAGGCCACTTCTGTCCTCCCGCCTCCCCCGCTGCCGGGCTCGCCCAGCTTCTCACCGTCTTCCCCCGCGGGAAGGGCGCCGAGGAGCGGAACAAGCGAGTCCCGCAGCAGCGCGGTGCGCCCGGGCCGGAACACACCTCGGCTG